GTGTGTATTTATGTATATACATATTTCTATTACATATTTACATATATATGTAAATACATAAATGTATGGATATTTACAGATTTATAAATTTATTCATATATATAGATTATACATTTATTCACATCTATATAAATTTACACATTTGTTCATATATATATTTGTACATTTATTCATATATATATATAGATATAGATATATATATATATAGATAGATAGATAGATAGATATATTTATACAATCTATATACATTTATTCATCTATATACATATTTAAATATTTATATTTATATATATTTACATATATTCATCTATATACATATATATATATATATATATATATATATATATATATATATATATATATATATATATATATACAATATATATCTATATAGCTATATATTTATATATTCATATATATTTTCATTTATATATTATATATGAATATACATATAAATACATTTGTATGTATACACCTGTGTAAATACAAGTATATGTACATGTATATATACAAAAATATCTATTTACTCATGTATACACATATATATGTAAATGTATATATAGGTTTGTACCTCTCTATATGTATATATATACATATGTATGTCTATATGTATACATATGTATGTATATACTTATCTATACGTATGTATGCAAGTGTGTGTGCGCGTATACGTATATATGTATATATGATATATGTAAGTGCATGTATATATGTATGTATATACGCGTATATGCATGTATATGTGTATGTATATACGTGCATATGCATGTATATGTGTATATTTATGTTTATGTATATATGTATATGCATATGTATGTGTATTTGTATATGCATGTGTATGTATGTGTGAATATTTTTATACATATGTATCTATAAGTATAAGTAGATGTACATGTACATGTATATCTATACATATATATGTATATATATATATATATATATATATATATATATATATATATATATATATATATATATACATATATATATATATATATATATATATATATATATATATATATATATATATATATATAAATATATCAATATGAATATATTTTTAGTCATCAGATCAATTATTCCTAGCTTTTCAATCACGAATGTAATGCGATGAACCTCACAACCTCATCCCACTTTGACTGGTGTTGAGTGTAGGATGGTGGTGGTGGTGTTGATGGTGAGTGATGGTAGTAGTGATAGTGATGATGGCGGTGGTGGTGAATGATGGTGGTGGTGATAGTGATGGTGGCGGTGGTGGTGAGTGATAGTGGTGGTGAGTAATGGTTATGGTGATGAGTGGTGGTGATGGTGTGTTATGGTGATGGCGGTGGTGGTGAGTGATGGTGGTGGTGGTGAGTAATGGCGGTGATGGTGAGTGATGGTGGCGGTGGTGGGGAGTAATGGTTATGGTGATGAGTGGTGGTGATGGTGAGTTATGGTGAGTGGCGGTGGTGGTGATAATGGTAAGTGATGGTGGTGACTGGTCGTGGTGGTGAGTGATGGTGATGGCGGTGAGTGATGGTGGTGGTAATGGTGAGTGATGGTGGTGACTGGTCGTGGTGGTGAGTGATGGTGATGGCGGTGAGTGATGGTGGTGGTAATGGTGAGTGATGGTGATAGTGATGATGGTGAGTGGTGGTGGTGAGTGATGATAGTGATGGTGGTGATGATGGTAATGGTGGTGGTGATGGTGATAGTGATGGTGTGTGGTGGTGGTGAGTGATGGTGGTGGTGGTGGCGAGTGGTGGTGAGTGTTGGTGGTGGCGTGGTGATGGTGAGTGATGGTGATGGTGGTGATAGTGGTGATGGTAGTGATGGTGGTGGTGATGGTGGTGGTGTCTAATGTTAAAATAATAAATAAGTGATCAGTTAAAACTGGTCATGATGTACATCTGTTACTGGTTGAGGAGCCACAGGATAACCATGTGGTTCCAAAGGCGCCCACATCTTAACAGAAAATGAGCGCGGGCGGAACACGCAATTGCTCTTGTCGCGCCCACCACGGGTGTTGTGTCTGGAGTCGTGTGGAAGGCGTAGGTCTTGACAGAGGTGGAGTCTGCATTACGTTAACCTTATACATTGCTTTAACCCCTTGGTGCCGGGTATGACGTGTACGTAAGTGCTATGCCCACTGTGAGTACTTGTTTGATTGTTTTTCCGCATAGATGGCAACACTTGTATTAAATCCCCAATGAGCCAGTTACGAGCACCGCCCGTCTCGCCCGTTTACCCGTTTCTTTGATTTACGAAATATTTTACGTAATCTTATTTTGCTGTTACTAATGTAAAAAAAATTATAAAAATTATAATGTTTATGAAAAATAACACCATCGATTTTCATAGCACTAGTGAAAAATACGTTTTTCCCGCCATTTAAATCAGGCGCTGGCAGAGCCATCTATCGGCAGACATTTCACGAAAAACATAGAAAGTGGGCACAATATTTTCCCCATTTTTTTTTCATTTTCCCTGGCACCATTGGGATATATATATATATATATATATATATATATATATATGCCTTCAAAAAAGAAATACATAATTTATATAAATATAAACATATATATATATCATCATCATCACCACACACAAAAGCGGACTGTACTCCGTAAGACGGCAGGTTTGCAACTTGTAGAGTATTGTTACACCGGGCCCATCCGAGAGATGGCTGATGCATCCAAGCTTACTACCATTCTCTCATGCTCAGAATCTCACTACCTATCACTAGGAATGCTCGGGACCTAAATTATATACACTGGGAATGCTCGGGATCTACCATTCACTAGGAATGCTCAGCATCTACCTTTCCTAAGGGACCTTTAGAATATACCATCAACTGAAAATGCTTGGGATCTAAATTCACTAGGAATGTTTGGGATCTACCACTCACTAGAAATACTCGGGATCTACCATTCACTGGGAATGCTTGGCATCTACCATTCACTAAGAATATCCAGGATCTACTATTCACTAGGAATGCTCAGGAATTACCTTTTACTAGGAATGTTTGGCATCTACTTTGTACTAGGAATTCTTGGCTTCTACCTTTCACTAGGAATGCTTGTGATCAACCATTCACTGGGAACGCTCGGGATCTAAATTCACTAGGAATGTTCAGGATCTACCTTTCACTAGGAATGCTCGGGACCTACCTTTCACTAGGAATGCTCGGCATCTACCTTTCACTAGGAATGCTTGGCATCTACCTTTCACTAGGAATGCTTGGCATCTACCTTTCACTAGGAATGCTTGGCATCTACCTTTCACTAGGAATGCTCGGGACCTACCTTTCACTAGGAATGCTTGGCATCTACCTTTCACTAGGAATGCTCGGGACCTACCTTTTACTAGGAATGCTCGGCATCTACCTTTCACTAGGAATGCTCGGGATCTTTCACTAGGAATGCTCGGGATCTACCTTTCACTAGGAATACTCGGGATCTTTCACTAGGAATGCTCGGGATCTACCTTTTACTAGGAATGGACAACATCTACCTTTCACTAGGAATGCTGGGGATCTTTCACTAGGAATGCTCGGGATCTACCTTTCACTAGGAATGAACAGCATCTACCTTTCACTAGGAATACTCGGGATCTAACTTTCAAAAGGAATGCTCATGATCTCACTACCATTCAATGGGAATGCGTGTGGCCTCACTACCATTCACTAGGTATGCTTAGAATCTAGCTACCGTTTAATTGGAATTAATTCAAAAGGCATGATCAGGATCTACCATTGAAAGACAATATTTGGGATCTACCATTCACTATGAATGTTCAGGATTTAACTACTATTTCCTAGTAATACTCAGAATCTAACTACCATTCCCTAGCTTGGGATCTATCTACTTATTCATTAGGAATGCTCAGGATCTAATAACTTGTAATGGTAGGGATCTATAAACCATTCAAAAGAAATGCTCGGGATATCACTAGAATGCTTCGGTTATTACTACCATTCAAAACGAATGCTCAGGATCTAACTGCCAATTACTAGGAATGCTCGGGATCTATCTTTCGATAGAAATGTTCGGGATGTAACTACCATTTTCCAGGAATGTTTGAGATAGAACCACCAATCACTAGGAATGTTAGGGTAGTTATTACCATTCAAATGGAATGTTTAGAATCTAAATACCAATCACAAATGCTCTGGATCTGACTACCATTCACCACAAATATTTGGGAAGGAAAAAATATTCAATAGGACTACGCTACAGTTAACTTGTAATGCTCAGGATATGATGGTCATTGGGATCTAAGTACCATTCACTAGGAATCAGGATCTCACTACCACTGAAAAGAAATGCTTGGGATCTAACTGCCTTTCAATAACAAATGCTCTGGGTCTTACTACCATTCACCGGGAATTTTCGGAATCTCTACCATTTAAAAAGGAATGTTTGGGATCTCTACCAATCACTTGGAATGCTTAAGGATCTCATTACCATTCATTAGGAATGATTAGGATTTAGCTACCATTCACTAGCAATGCTAGTGATCTTGCTACCATTCAATTTTCATCTCACTACCATTTAATACCATTCACTAAGAATGCTGGAGTACTTACTAATTTTCAAAAGAAATGTTCAGGATCTCACTACTATTTGCCTGGAATGCTTGGAACATTCCTATAATTCACAATAAATGGTCAGGATCACTATACCATTCGATACAAATGCTCGGAATCTCACTACCCATCACCAGAAATGGTCGTGAACTCACTGTTAAATATGTTAGTTACCCCTTTGATGCTCAGAACACCACGTTTTCTGTGTTTACCCTCAGTTCCTTTGTTATTATCTCAGAATTAAAAAATATCTATATTTTTTTGATAAATAAATAGTAAGTTTTCTATATGTGCTCTAGAATAATATTGAATAATCTATATGTCATTAAAAACTAGAATAGAGAAGTACTTATTTTCCATAAATAATATATTTGTGTGTAACCATTGAAAAATAAAGGCCACTACGTGGCACTGCCAGCTCACCACCTGTTTCATTGAGCACCCCCAACCCTCGCTCCTGCTTCTTCATGCCTTGTTGACAAATGTGGGTCTAGTGAGACCTTACAATTTGGTGCCCAGACCCGGGAAAGAGGTTCTGTAAAGAATCCCGGTTGTATTTTTTGTGTCAACAATGGGAGACATGGAGAAACTTCAGAAGAAGAGGGCAGTCGCCCGAGGGTGGGCAACTCGCAAGTCTAACATACTAAAGGGCCTTCTCAACAATCCAGATGTTAGTGTCATCGATCTGCAAGCTGCCATGGATGACTTTGATCAACGTCTTGCCAGTTTGGAGGAGGTACAAACAATGTTAGAATTAGAGACTGATTTTGTGAACTTGGATGAAGAGCTCGATAGTGCCTCCGAGTTTTTCCAAGAAGTCCGTAAGCCCAGGCTGCAAGCTGCACAGAGGTTGGGGGATATGATGAAAGGTGAGCAGAGGGATTCCTTTTCATCCTCGAGTCCCAGTAAAATATCTAGTAGCTCCAAGATAGCAAATGTAAAATTACCCAAATTAGAGTTACCAAAGTTCAATGGAGATGTAACTCTGTGGCAGTCATTTTGGGACCATTTTAAGACTCATGTGCATGAAGCTGACATTCCAGTGATAACTAAGTTTAGCTACCTGCAGTCATTATTGGAAGGACGTGCTAAAGGTGTTGTAAAAGGATTTGCACATACCGAAGCAAATTACCAAATTGCTTGTGATCTGCTGAAAAAAAGATTTGGAAGACCTGAATGTATTAAGTTAAAACATGTACAAGCACTTTTGAATAGTAGGTTTTCCGAGAAAGGCAAAGGACCAAAGTATGTGTCCTCTTTGTGGAGTCTACTTGATGAATTGCTGACCCACATCCGTAGCCTACAGGCCTTGGGAGTAACAGAGGAGCAGTGTGAAGTGTTCCTGACCCCTCTCATCCTGTCATGCCTTCCTGAGGAGCTAAGATTGGAGTGGGCTAGAGAGGGCTCTGGCCGTGAGAGTGACATCAGTTGGCTGCTGCAGTTTCTTCAGAAAAAAATTGAGAGAATTGAGAGATCAGAAACCTTCAAAGTTGTGTTGGGGAAGGCAGAAGGACGTTTTGTGGAATCTGAGAAAGGAAGAGTGCCGTCTGCATCAGCTCTTTACACATCGTCTGAAGTAGGATCTTCTTATTGCGCATTCTGTAGCAAGAAACACAAGTCTGAGAAGTGCTGGGATATTCAGAAGCTCTCATTAAAGGAACGTGAAGAAAAAATTAAAACAGCCCGTTTATGTTTTAAGTGTCTAAGTAAAGGACATATTGCCAGTGGCTGTCGAATCAAGTGTTCCAAGTGTAATGGAAATCATAATTCTCTTCTGTGTAGAGCAAAGGGTGAAATAAACACAGATAAAGCTATGGAAGGTGATATGAGTGTTAAGAAGGTTAGTGATAATGCCGAACCTTCTTCAGAAAATTGCAGTCCTCGAGTGAATCATGTTGGAGTTGCTCTTAGCAAGTGTAATGTGTTGACAAAAACTAGCTGTGTGTTACAAACAGCTAGAGTTAAAGTGTATGGTGATTCAGGTATTTGTTGTGAAGCCACCTTGTTGTTTGATACTGGCTCCGATAGATCCTATGTATCCAGTAATCTTGTGAAGAAAGTTAAGCCTAAGTGGGTGAGCTCGGAAACAGTGTCATATGCTGCTTTTGGAGGTAGTAAGTCTCCTCCAGGTAAACAGAGTAATATCTTTGATTTGAAATTAGTGGGTTTACAAGGTTTAAAACATTTAATGGCATTAGAGATTCCAAAGGTTTGTGCTCCGTTAACTAGACCTTGTATTCCTAGTAAATTGGTTGATGCCTTTTCAGATTTCCAACTTGCTGATGATTACAAGAATAATAGCCACCTAAGTATAGATATACTTGTAGGTTTGGATGCTTATTGGGGATTTATGGACCCTGAAATAAAGCCATATCAGAGTAATGGATTAGTAGCTCAAAAGTCTGTATTTGGTTGGGTTTTGTCTGGCTCATGGATGAACTCTTCTGACAAGCCATTTGAGTCTACCCAAATGTTATGCTTAGGGAATGTAACGGATTCTGATTTAAGTGAATTTTGGAGTTTAGAATCTGTTGGAATAAATCAAAAGGAAACTGTTTCTAACCCATTTACCTCAGACCCTGTTCTACAGCAATTTTGTGGAAATGTTGAGTTTGATGGGGAGCGTTATGAAGTAGGCTTACCCTGGAAGTCAGATGAATGTAAGAAGAATCTTAGAAATAATGAGGGACTTGCTAGAAAAAGACTAGAAGGATTAGAGCGTAAGTTAGATAAGGACCCACAACTTAAGAAACAATACTCTGAGGTGTTTACTGGCTATGAAGAAGAGGGAATAATTGAGGAAGTCCCTTCAAATGAGGTTTTAAGTTCTCAGCCTACATATTATATGCCTCATCGTCCTGTTGTGAAAGAAAGTAGTGCTTCAACTAAGATTAGGCCAGTTTTTGATGCTTCTGCAGCTAGTTACAATGGCATTTCTTTAAATGATTGTCTTGAGTCTGGTCCTTCACTTAATCCTGATCTTGTGAAAGTTTTGATTCGTTTCAGAAGGTGGAAGGTTGCACTGACTGCTGATATTACCAAGGCTTTCTTACAGATCTGTGTTCAGGAAAAGGACCGAGATGTGCATCGCTTTTTATGGAAATGCAAAGACTCCATTAGAATTATGAGGTTTGTTCGTGTTCCCTTTGGCAACACAAGTAGCCCTTTTTTGCTAAATGCAACTATTAAACATCACTTACAGTCTTTTCCTAATACTGAAGTCATAGAAGAATTAAAGGAAAACCTTTATGTGGATGATTGGCTGTCGGGGGCAGACAGTGCAGAAGAGGCTTCTGTTAAGTTTAAAGAAGCTCAGAGAATTTTGGCATTAGGTGGGTTTCCTCTTTCTAAATGGCATTCAAACTGTAAATTACTGACTACAAAGTTCAATGACAAAATTGATCATGGTAATGAACACGTATCCACCAAGGTTTTAGGTATGAAGTGGTTATCCTTAACAGACCAGTTTGTCTTTGAGGAATTTGATTTTGACTCAGAGACACAGTTGGTGTCAACAAAAAGAGCAGTACTTAGTCTCATAGCCAAACTTTTTGACCCTCTTGGTTTGATTAGTCCCTTTGTCATGTTTGCCAAAATCCTCTTTCAGGACATATGGAGACTTGGACTTGATTGGGATGAAGTACTACCTAATGAGCTGCAAAATAAGTTCCATAATTGGGTTAAAAGTATTGCTGCATTTAAATATTGGAAGATAAATCGGTGCTATTTTCCAGAAATATCATGGAGAGAGTTGTCGGGTCTAGAACTTCATGCCTTTGGTGATGCTTCAGAGAAGGGGTATGGAGCTTCTGTGTATTTGAGAGTTCCCCTTGTGGATGGGACATACCAGGTGTCATTTGTAGTTGCAAGGTCTAGGGTAGCTCCTATAAAAAGGGTTACTTTACCCCGACTAGAGTTGCTTGGTGCTTTACTTTGTGCACGGCTCTTAGATTTTGTGAAGTCTGCCCTATATCTTGATAAGACAGTAACCTATTGTTGTTGGACTGACTCAAAGGTTGCACTTGCATGGATAAAGGGTAATCCTAGTAGGTGGAAGGCATTTGTGTCAAATAGAGTTGTTGAAATTCAGAGTCTCACCTCCCCATGTCACTGGTACCATTGTTCAGGGAAGGAAAATCCTGCTGATCTCATTTCTAGAGGGGAGTTAGCTGAGCCACTTGTGAATTCTACTTTATGGATGAATGGGCCTTCTTGGTTGTCTAAACCTTTAACTTTAAGTGACAAAGGAGAAGCTGTGGAGCTACCTGTAGAAGAAAGTTACAGTGAAAAGAACATTTCTTGTGTATCTGTAACCACTCCTAAAATATTTGAGTTTGAGAGATGGAGTCAGTTCAATAAAGCCCATCATGTAGTGGCTTGGGTTATGAGATTTATAAACAATACCCGACCTCATTCTGTAAAAGTGTCAGGTCCATTGTCTTCTGATGAGTTGGTTAAAGCCAAGACCAAATTGTTTTACTGTGTACAGAGAGAGAAATTTGCTCATGAAATTGCCGACTTGAGAAAGGGTAAATCTCCTGCAAGGAGGTCCCCTTTGTGTAGACTAGATCCCTTTGTAGATGATGAAGGCCTGTTGAGAATTAAAGGACGTTTGGAGAATGCAAACTTGAGTTTTGAAAGCAAACACCCTGTTATAGTTCCCTCAGGTCATGTTGCTAAGCTCTTGGTTCAATTTCAGCATATTTTCTTGAAGCATGCTGGAGTATCCACCATTGTATCTACTTTAAGAGGCAGCTATTGGATAGTGGGAGTCAGACGAATTGCTAAAACTGTTTGTAGAGTGTGTGTTCGGTGTAAGAGGTTTGATTCCAGGGCTTGTAATCAGCCTGCTGCACCCCTACCAGGATTAAGAGTTAAGATTGCTCCTCCCTTTACTGTGACAGGTCTTGATTATGCTGGTCCTCTTTTTTGTATTGATTTACCTTCCAAGAAATTATACATTTTGTTGTTTACATGTGCCGTAATAAGAGCAGTGCACCTAGAACTTACTGATTCACTATCTCTCTCCGATTGCATGCTGGCTTTACGTAGATTTGCAGCACGAAGAGGCATTCCATCTGTCTTTTATTCAGATAATGCTAGAACATTTTTGGGTGCAGCTCGTCAACTTCAGCAAGAATATGGTCCACTGTCTCCTCAGTGGAAATTCATTGTGTCCCGTTCTCCATGGTGGGGAGGTTGGTGGGAACGTTTGATTAGGTCTGTTAAGTCTGCTTTGAGGAAAACAATAGGTATTAGAAGTCTGTCTAGAATTGAGCTTGAGACCACTCTTCAAGAAGTTGAGGCTTGTGTAAATTCTAGACCTTTGACCTTTGTTGGAGATGAACCTGATGTTTCAAATCCTTTGACACCTTCACACTTTCTCATTGGACGTAATGCTGGACTCCAACTTGAGATTAGTGATCAACCTTCATATGTTACAGGAAAGGATTTAATTATCCGAGAAAGTGTTCGCCAGCAGCAACTTGATAGATTTTGGAAATTATGGAGCAATGACTATCTGAGAAATTTGCCGCCTGCTGTGAAAGGATTTGTGCCAAATTGCAATGTAAAAAAAGGTGCTGTTGTCCTAGTCAGAGAAGACCATGTTCCTAGGCTTAAATGGCCATTAGGTGTAGTTACTGAAGTATTCCCTGGTAATGATAATATCATTAGGAGTGTTAGGGTTAAAACTGACAAAGGAACAGTCAGTAGACCAGTGCAGAAGTTGCATGATCTTGAAATGTATAATCCTCTGTATGAAGATTCCGAAGAAAATATACCATCAGTTCTTGGAAACGGTGAAAATGGTTCCTCTGAGCCTTGTGAAGAGAACATTGTGAAATCCACCTCCTATAGTCGATGGGGTCGTGCAATAAGAGCCCCAGTGAAACTTGATTTGTAATGATTTGTATTTTTTGAAAGTGTATTTTTTTTGTTTTTTTTCTTGTTTCTTGTGGTTAAGATAAGATAAAGTAATGAGTTCAATATTATGTCAGTATAAATGCAATCTCTTCGGAGAAAATTGTCATATTAATTTTCTCAGGATTTTATTACCTCATTTAAGTATACTTAGTCTATGATAGGAGTAAGTCCTCCTATGGTGGGGAGTATGTTAAATATGTTAGTTACCCCTTTGATGCTCAGAACACCACGTTTTCTGTGTTTACCCTCAGTTCCTTTGTTATTATCTCAGAATTAAAAAATATCTATATTTTTTTGATAAATAAATAGTAAGTTTTCTATATGTGCTCTAGAATAATATTGAATAATCTATATGTCATTAAAAACTAGAATAGAGAAGTACTTATTTTCCATAAATAATATATTTGTGTGTAACCATTGAAAAATAAAGGCCACTACGTGGCACTGCCAGCTCACCACCTGTTTCATTGAGCACCCCCAACCCTCGCTCCTGCTTCTTCATGCCTTGTTGACAAATGTGGGTCTAGTGAGACCTTACACTCACCATTCACTATGAATGCGCACACACAAACACACACAGACATACATGTTTATGTATATACATATGTATGTCTATAAAGGTATATTCATGTATATATTTACTTATATTTATGTAAACATTTGCACATTTCTGCCACCAACGATGCGCTGTTTGACGAACTATTTGACATCATGTACTTGACTGGGTTTTTATACTGGGGCAGCTAACAAATAATCCTTCCCAAGGTGAGTAGTTGGATAGGTAATCATTGTTAGTGGTCCTCAACACACCATCATATCGACAATACTCACCCACTGTGTGCATGAATGCGCGCAGCGCACACGCGCGCACACACACACTCACACGTATATAGACATAAAACCACATACATACATGTGTAAATATATATATCATGTATACATATATACATATCACATATGCATGTATGTATAGATGTACACACATACATGTGTATGCGTGCGCTCGTGCGTGCGTGTGTGCGTTTGTTATATACATGTATCGTATATATACATATATATGTACATATGTATACATATATATGTACATATGTATACATATATATACATATATATGTACATATGTATACATATATATACATATATATGTACATATGTATACATATATATACATATATATGTACGTATGTATACATATATGTACATTATATGTATGCATATAAATGTATACATATATATGTATATCATACACATAAAATGTATCTATTCATCAAGGATACCGCGAGTTAGATTTACAAAATAATTTAAAATTCAAGTAAATTAAGAAGAATCTTAATTTTCACCAAATTCAACAAAATCTCTTGTAATGTAACCGATAAGAAACAAAAAATTAAGGTGGTAACAATGGTATTTTATGAGTAAATTTGACATAAATGGAGTATTAAATGTCAGCTCAAAACCCAAGCGTCATCAGTGCAAAAAACTGGCTGGATAACACAGTACATTTAATGTACAAAGCATTGCATATAGACAAATCAAAATGCATGTTGAGAATCTAAAGGTGTTAAGTGAATGAATGTCAAAATACAAAATGTCAACCATAAAAACGTGTAAAAATCAAGGAAAACTATGCAGCCACATCCACCGTCTGAGGCTCGCCGATTTTTTCTTTTGTTCTCTTCCATGTTATTTTGCTTTGTTTAAGATCTCTTTCAGTTTTCAGTCTCCTCCCATGTTTTATTTTTTGTATTCAGTTTTATTTTTGCTCATTTAAGTTCACTTTCACTTTTAAGGTTCCTGCATGTTTTACTAATTACATTTTATTTTATTTTTGCTCCATCTGTTTGTTTGTTTGTTTTTTTTGCGGTTTGGTTCAGTTTGATCATCATTATCTTATATTCTACTTGTGTTTTATTAACTATAATAAATTTTAGTATTAAATATAGTTCACTTTTTTAGCCTTTTGCAGCGTTTTATTTGCTGTAGAGTTCGGTTTTAATTCCCACTAGTTTTGTTTAGTTTTTAGTCTTTGGTCTCAGTTTTAGCCACCGTTTTGTCCAACTTTCTCCTAATAAATATTGTATGGTTTATTTTGTTTTCTGTGATCCTCCATCCTGCCAACTATCTCTAATAATTAACAAATTTGTTGGTTATGTGGGTGTAGTCAATGCAGCCAACAACAGCAGACATTCCAGCAATTGCCATGAAATCCCATTTTCATTTGTTCTAGGCACCTTGATGATGTTATGGCTCATCCTGGCAATGACTCGTGTCACACGACTACTACATCTGCTTACATAACACTGTGAAATGTTGTAGCAATCTGGAACTGTCAGCTGGTAATTACCAATGGCCATATACCTCAAGGTGATGAGCAATTGCAGGTAAGGTACAGAAATACTTGTTGGATGGAATAATGGTCAATATTCGGTACAGCAGGATTCACGAAACTAAAGTATATTGATAACTATCGATTAAGCACCTAATTAGGAAACTTTTCTTCTAGATAGACAGTTGCCGCAAACGTACTCTGAAATAGGGAAACGGGTACGTAGAGTTCGGCTAAATCAGGTTAGGTTGGGATAAAATAGGTTTGATTTGGTAATACTAGTGTATAATAGTGGTCTATAAGTTATTACTTATTAAATCAAATTGAAATATGAAGGAATATTGGCAGATCATAAAGACTTGTTATTGAGAGTTTGAGGTAAGTGGGGTAGAATCTTTTGCATATGATCATGTGCAGCCTCCTTCCCTCCTTCGTCATCCTGAATCGCGACAGAAATTCGCACTCTGTCGTCGCCTCGAAAGGGTCCGTGCGGTCTTGCAGATGACGAAGAATGATTCCAAAGATTGAATTGAGTTTCTATAGTAAACATGCTACACTAGTCATCTTGTCAGTGGTTACAACATTTATTCAATTTCATGGTGCAGTTGCTTAATTCCACGGTGCATGATAACTTTCGCCCGAAAAGGAGAATATTTAATTGTAAAACGATAGATATTGAATGCAGTAAACAGTATATTTTAAATGCACAAAGCTTTATGAAACTTATCGTTCAGCAATTCGGAATAATATAAAGCTACTTATGTAATAATATATATATATATATATATATATATATATATATATATATATTTATGTTCGTTTTAAGTATGCTTAATCTGAATTCCATGACCTTATGATAAGGGACTTCTGCATTACTACGTGAAAAATTCTCTTACCTTAACAATTGAAGTACAACTATATAACATACAGATGTCAATCGCCAGCATTTGATGTCGATTTTCAGAGGGAATCAATGATGATAAAAAAAACTGCATGAATACATTTACTAGAGGAAAAACAAGCAAATTTTAATTTTGAATTAAGATAACGACATTTAAGATTATTTATCATCTAGGAAAATATTCTTTTATGGTACATCATTTAAATAATTTGCATTTGGAAGTAACTGTGCAACGCGTTTAAGTGATTCACATTCTGTTCTAATAATGTGCGCATTTGGTGATCGCACAAGAGCGGACAGCACAGTTGTGAATTTCAGAATTTTGACGGCACAAAATGTGACCCAGAATTCAGACATTCCACAATTGTGCAATCTGTAGTATGACTAAGCATAAGGTTTAGCGTGTAGTGCGGCGAAGGGGTGTCCTCATTTTCTTTAAGAATACGACGGTTAGAGTCGGCGAGTGTGCAGCATACACTAAAATTATTATTGTTATTATTATCATTACTTAATTATGATTATTATTTCAAATTACATCAGTACCATCATTATTATTTCTATTAATATCATTATTACCAGCAGCGAGGGCTTGGCACTGCCTGCCCTCCGGCCGGAGTCGTCCTCTGCTTCTTGGGCTTGGCCTCGCCCTCGTTCTTGCAGGTGCGCTTCCTTAGAGGAAACTGGTACCGGATGGGCTGCCTGCTGGCCAGGAGGCACTGGTGCTCCAGACAAACCCCAGCGAGGCGGAGGCTGCGCCCTTTGTCTCTCGGGAATTCCTGTGCTGTGGGAGAAGCGGGTTCTCCGCGTGTGGCACTGGCACCGTTTCGAGCTCCTTTTCGGCGGGGAAGGACATGTCCATCACCTCGAAGTTCTGCTCCAGGACCGCGATTTCCTCCTGGAATAGCATATAACTCGTAGCCGCCTGAGCGTCGCGGTTCCAACGCTGCTGGAAAACCAGATCCTTGAGGGAGGGCATGGAAAGGGCGTTTGTGTCTCTTCGGAATTCATGGCTACTTTAGTACTGGTATTCTGTTTGCGGAAAAAATATTTCCTTGAAGGATGGCGTGAAGGGCGTGCTCTCTGCCCCCTCTGCAGAATTCCCCTCTTCAGAAATCTTTAAATTACCCGGTTAGTATTAGCCAATTTAGTAGTTCTGGGTTCAGTAGTTCTGTACCCAATATCGTAGTTATGGGTTAATAAACAAGCGTTCAGCTTACTGCATTCTCCGGACATTTCGTATGGATGAAAATAATTATTCCATAAACATATAAAGGGAAGTTTAACTGTGATACTTATATATACACATATACACACATAAATGCCTATGAATATACAGTTTACAGACATGAACTGACAAACGAGAAAATGTAGAATAAGATACAACGGCTAATAGACCATGCAAAGAGGCAATGTAATGTATGTAATATTACATATGGTACATATATTTTTGTAACTCATCAAGTATAAACTTGTGCACACATGCATACGCACACACACGCGCGCAGGCAGGCTCACACATACACACATGCATGCACACGCGCGCTCGCACACATACATACACACACACGGGCGCGCGCACGTACATAGGCACTTACACTTACTGGCTATTTATAATCTACTAATCACGCTCTTTGTAACAAACAACCTAGGCTTTTCGTCTCATTCATAAAAATACTAATTATGCTATATTTACATCGAGGTGGTTGCCAGATATACAAAAGTGGGACCCAGCATGTGTACTGAAGTGTAATTCCGCAAGTATACAGTTGCCTGCATTCATGCCTGGTACACCCGTTTTCGTTGGGCAGCAGAAGTGGCACTCTGTGTTTATTTACGTACGAGTTGAATGGATTGAAGAAATACATCAAAATTCTTTGGGCAATTCTACCCCAGAGAGCATTAGCCATCGCTTATTTCCTGGCTTGATATTTGCATCGTCTTGCTGTTATCTGCTGACTGTCCTCAGTTATTAAAAAGGTGTTTAGTGAGACAGACAGAGAGATAGAGAAAGAGCGACAACAAGCGAGAAAGAAAGAGAGAAAATGACCTCAAGCTTGTGTGTGTGTATGTGTGTGTGTGTGTGTGTGTGTGTGTGTGTGTGTGTGTGTGTGTGTGTGTGTGTGTGTGTGTGTGTGTGTGTGCTTCTTCGATTCTTTAGATTGGCGCAAAAGAATAATTTCCTTTTACAAACAAGTAATTGCTTTTTCCGCCAAATTATCTACCATCGAACACTATTTGAATATCCCTTTGTTCGTTAACATCTTTGCGAGTGTGTGCATGCAACTGTGTATATACACGTGTGCACAGTATAATGTTTGTTGACGTAAAAGTATTATTAATATGTTTGATTTTTCTTATCTTTATATGCCTACCCTTCGTTACTTATTTCATAATAAATAATAATGTTTACTGAAATTGCATACACCTCTTCGCCTCGAGCACAGCTTCTTCCCTCCTCAAAGTTGCTCACAAACCCCTTAACTCAGCAATGCACATTAGGTTGTTTATAAGCAATCATGGTTAAAAGTATCCAGTTATCTTAGTGTTACATCTATACGTAGACACTGTAATAGCATTCATAATTAAAAAGAAAAATTACAAACATAGTAATTTTTCTAATGACATTTACTCCAATTCACTCAAACTGCACGTAGTTAGAAAATATAAACAAATACTATTGACCAAAACCGAGTGTACCGGGTACTGAGTGCAGGCGACCACACACACACACACACACACACACACACACACACACACACACACACACACACACACACACACACACACACACACACACATATATATATATATGAGATACAGAAATATAAAAGTCAAATACTTTTAAATACAGGAGCTTTACTAGCTCGTCAAGAAATACTTATATCCGAAAACACTCACGCTGTTGCACGCACTAGAAAACACACATACATTAACACGTACATGAGCGCCAATGAAGGTGAATAAAACCAACATAGATGATATACGAGTAAAATAGGAGAAGAATGAAGCTCACGAGAATTATACTTATGATATCAATAATGCTATTTATAATAAAATACCGATAATAACAATAATAACATTCAAAGTGACGATAACTGAAAAATAGCAGTATAATAAAAATAGTAATAAATCCATCCATTAATTGTTGCAAACATTACCAAGAAATAATAAACATATATTGATAGAATTCAATCTAATGTAAGTCTTATTCTACGTATGGATATAGAAAATAATTATTCATACAAGGCGATAAAATTCCCTGTTAATCACTACAAGAGTTTTGAAGGCTTCTCTCCGCGTTAAAGTTGCAGTGTTTGTCCAGAAGTCCGGGTGTGAGGAATGCGCTGTGTTGGGCGAAGGTTAATTCCGGGAAAAGGGAAATTTCGCATGTCGTGCACGGTATCAGTAAGCTATTTTAGGCGAGATCGTGGGGGGATTTTCGGCGCTTAACTGCCCTACGGAAAGAGGTTAAAACGAGGAACGAGAAAAAGTAGGGCAAGGAGACGAAGTCGAAGAAGAGGGAGAAGAGAAGGGAAAACGAGTAGAATTAAAGAGAAAAGAAAGGACAGGGGACGAGAAAGAATCGGAAGAAAAAGTAGAAGAGAGAAAGAACCAAATTTTCTCATCATATCTTTCAAAATCTGACCTCTGCCTCTTAACCCTCAGATTAGAGGCATCAAGATTTTAAGAATAAAACAATAAATCATTAAAAATAAAACCCAGATGAAATAAAACTAAACAAGAGGAACAAATAGCACTACCAGAAACAACTTACAGCTCACCGGGGCTATTTTCATCCCCCAACTCTGAAAGGAAGAGGAAGAGGAACAAGCGGACTTCGAACGTCGGCTGTTTTATCAAGCGACTCCTCACAGCACGCGGAGGATCCGCAGGCTTGCACTCGCGCACGACGCTCAGGCTTCACTTGATAGTCGGTCAGATTGCCTGCAGCCGGAGCGAGGCGCTGCGGCCGGACATAACATTGTGTCGGCGTGGTGAGGTATTGTTTAAATATTCTGGGTTGAAGATCATAGAGATGTTCTGTGTGTGTGTCTTTATATATATATATATATATATAT